GAGTCTGGTGGCATCTCAGAGGAATTCTAGGTGGGTCAGGGATCCTGGTCATCTTAGTGGGTGGTGTTGAGGGCTTAGGGTCGAAGGAGGCTTGGGGAACCTTTGGAGGTAGTTTTAAAGTGTCCCTGGTATTCCGGGAGCTCTGTGGTATGGGGAGTCTTAGGGTCCCCAGTATCATCACCTCATTAATCTGGCGCATCCTACGCTCCTCCAGGTCCATCTTGGCTCTCAGGAACCCCTCATGCTCACTGATTTCCCCAGGCATGCCGAAGTAAACGTCCACACCATCTGTGGGCCTTGGGGTGGGGGTGACTGCAAAACCAGGGATCAGGAGGTCAGCCTGCAGCCCACCTCCAGGTCACCTTTTCTACCGGGAGAGCTACATTTCCTGGAGCGCGCTGGAGACCATCGTGCATCCGGTTTAACCATAGCAGCTGCCTGGCATCATGGGAGATGTGATTCTGCACCAGGCTGTTCTTGAAAAGCTTAGGAACCCATTACACCATCTGCTAAGCTTTCCCCAAATGATCCTGAGGATCTACCAAGTGGCTCCTCCACTTACAAGCACCCCCAAACCACCCTGTCCCTTTGCATTCTTCACGGGTGAGTCCCGCCTCTTCTGCTGCATCCAAAGCCACTCCCATCTTCTATTCCCTCCCGTTGGGCTTCTCTCCCATAGGCCCCACACCAAGGCTCCCCCTGATCATTTTCCCTCCCTGGTGGAGAGGCCTGGGGGTTCAGAGACTGTCTCACCTTTGCTGACCGCTGCCGGGGCATGGGAGCTCGGGAGTGGGACTCTTTCCTCCTCCTCTTCCTCTTCGGCCTGTGGGGGCTCCACGAAGTAATCGTCTACTGGCTGTAGGAAGGATTCCTCCTCTTCCTCGTCCTCACCCCCCTCTACTCTTCCCCCCAGGGGCCATGACCGGGTGGAGGGGTCACTGAGGGAGCAGGAGAAGACCCAGGCAGTAAGAACCCAGGCCCAGGCCCCCAGGTTCCCATCCCCTGCCTCAGGAGCCTTGGGATGGGCATGGAGGATTCCCTTCCACTCACCCAACTGCTGTCCCCGATGGGTCGGGGGTCACTGGAGGAGGACAGCACACATATTCCACACCTCGGAACCGATCTGAGCCACAGGGCAAAAGCATGCCCGAGCCATGCAGGATGAGGCCCTGGGAGCTGCAGGCCTGCAGGAAGAGTGGACCCAGATGCCAGGATTCTGGGGCAGGAAGGGGGAGACGGGGCCAGACCCAGGTCTTGGGGGAGGATGAGGCTGGGAGCCTGGATTCCCGGTTCTGGAGGAAGGGGTTAGGGCACGGAATTCCTAGATCCCAGCGGGAAGAGGGGACTAAAGACCCAGACTCCTCAGTCCTGGTGGAAGAGGGTGTTAACGGCCTGGACTCCTGGGTTTGGGAGGGGGTGGGGGCAGGTGGGCCGAGGTTCTGACCTCCTGTGCCTCCTGATGCCTCCGGGTTGAACTCTCGCACTGGTCCATGCGTTCCTGGTGCAAGAACCGGCAGCCTTCAGGCACCAGCAGGGCCTCGCTCACAAACTCACCAGCTGGGGAATGGGGGACAGCAGGGTGAGACCCTCCCACAGCCACCAACCCCACCCTCCTCAGAATCCAGATGTTTTATCCTCAGAAGCTTCTCTGCCCCGCTTGGGATCCAGGTACCCAGCCCCCTAATGTGGGCCTGAGGCAGGACCCCCCCCCCCCCAAGAAATTTCCTCCTCCGTTCCCTTCTCCCAGCCTGTGACTCACGCAGGCAGCGGAAGGGCACAACCTGGTGGTGGGAGTGGGCACAGTGGCCGCCCCGGGAACCCCCACACCAGCGCTCCACGGGGATGGCCTGAGCAGCCTGCTCCACGCGTGCAATCTGCAGCTCCGGATACATCTGCGGGTACGGGTGGGGGCCATCAACCCACTGCCCCGTCCCTGCCAGCCACCCCTCTCCGTTGGCCATGGCTCTTTTCAAGGCTCTGATATTCATAAGAACATCTCCCTAGGCCCTGCTTCTCCCTAGAACCATCCTTAGCTGTCTAAGACCCTCGTGCCCATTGGCCATGCCTCCTAGTAGCTCTCCCTTAAAAGTCCCGCCATCCTTGCCCTCCCTCTTTTCCTGTCTACTTTCTTTATGAAGGCCCCTTCACCTGCCCATAAACTCAACCTCTCTAAACCCACCTCCCCATCACGACCCCCTCCCCCATCAGGTTCATATTCCCATAGGTCTCACCCTCCAAGCCCCGCCTCCTTCTCTGTTTGGCCTCTCGGTAAGTGTCCCTTCTGTCGCGTTTCATAGCCAAGCCTCCTAGCTACCCCCCCACTCCCCGCTCTCATTGGGCTCCACCCCTTTCCGCGTCTTGGGGGTCCATAAAGTCTCTTTTTGTCTTAGGCCCGCCTCTCCTTTGGCCACTCCCACCTATACCTCTACTCCTTGCAAAGCCCACCAGATTGCTAAAGCCCGCCTCTTCTCTGGCTATCTTCCTTAGCGCGGTTCCCCCCCTTCCCTGACTCAGTTTCTCAAAAGAGGTCGTGCCCTAGCCTAGCTTCTCCTCTTCGTTGGCCACGCCCCCCAGCCTCCCGCACTGTCTTAGCTCCCTCTTCGCCCTGGACCACGCCTCTTGCAAGTCTCCGGTTAATGGTCGACCCCGCCCCACCTTGGACCCGCTGACCACGCCCCTCCTGCTGGGCCCCGCCCACCTGTCTGCAGTACTCCAGCGCGCGCTGCGGGTCCCTGAGACAGCGCCGCGAGCGCTGAGGGTCTGGTTCCCAGCGGCCGGTGCGCAGGTCCCGGTGAAGGGCTACGCGCCCGCATAGTCCGGCCACCTGGGCCGACCCCGGGACCTGGAGGTGGAGGCGGAGGGGACAGTGAGGGCCCGGGGGACGTTGGCATGAGGGTTCTCTGGTCTACGGCTCCCTAGGACCCAGACATTCAGACTCCCAGCACCGACCCCCTCCCCCAAGGACCGCGCCCCCGCCCCCGTGGAGGCACCGTTCCCTGGGAAACAGCTCCCATAGGGCGGGGGCGCCCCAGCTCTCCTGTTGCTATAGCAACCTGGGTGCCCCCCCCCCCGGATTCTTTCGGCCTTGTTGCTGCGGAGACAGGCTCCGCCCACACTCCAGCGTAGAGACGCTGGAGCCCGAAGGGGTTAAACCTGAATCGCGGAGGAGGCGGCCAGAACCCAGGCGTTCTGGCCCCTCCTCCCTCCATCCCTAGCACCGGCTCCCATTGCAGGGTGTAAAGACGACAAGGCCTGGCTTCAGGGCCCTGCAGGCCTTGACACCAGGTCCTTGAGGACTGGGGAGCTACATCCTGTTTGGGGTTGGAAGTGTCCGCAGGCCTGGACTCCTTGGTCCTGGGGGCCTTCGAGGGCTCTCATATGGGTCCAGAGGATGCAAGGGGCCTGGATTCTTAGATCCAAGTGCCTCGCTGCCTGGTGGGTACAATGTTCAGGTGGGAAGCGGCTGGGGCCGAGTCACCCAGGGTGAGAGGGTCTGGAGGTGGGGCTGGACTTCTGGGACCAGGGCTTCTGGAAAAGCCAGTTGGTATCCCGGGGGTGGGAGAGGGCTGGGACGTCAGATGGTGCGGGAGCTGGGGCCTGGAATTCTGGGTTCACGAATGCCTAGTGCCGTTAGGGGCGCCTGGGGGCTGGTCACCTGGCTGGAAAGATCGAGCTTTCTGCCCAGGACAAGCCCGCGGCGGGGCCCCCGAGGCCCGGTCCCGCCCCTTCCCCCACCCCCCAGGACCCGGCCGGGCCTCACCTCGGCGGCGCCGGGGCTCCCGCCGGCCAGGCTCCCGACGGCGAGCTGCGCGCGCAGAAGCAGCAGCACTAGCGGCAGCAACAGCGGCAGCGGCGGCTGGCCCGGGCGGCGACCCAGACCGCGCGCGGCTGGGCTGGCGGGCCCCATATCCCGGCCCTCGCGCCCTCACGTCCCCTGCACTCCCGCCCGGCCCGGCCCCAGCGGTGACAGGAGCTTCCAGCGCCACCGCCGCCGCCGCCTCCTCCCGCCGCCCCCGGGCTGCGCCGGCGCCGCCAGCCCCGCCCCGCGCCGGCCCCGCCCTCCTGGCCAGGACAATAGCGTGGCGGCTCTGCGCAGAGTGGAGCAGCTCGGGAACCCCGGGTGGGAGCCGGCGCCGGGCCCCCGCCCCTTGAGATTCCAGGCGTCCCACCCCATGAAGAGCCGAGCCAGGAGTCTGGGTCATGGGCTGCGCCGCTGTGGATTTGGGGTCCTCCCTCAGGACTCTCACCCCAGCTCTCTCCTCCCCCAGACCCAGACACCCACGATCGGCTTTGCGCTTTGTCCTGCTCCAGGGACTCCAGTACTACAGCCTTCCCCCGCCCGCAGCCCCCTCCTTCAGATCAGGGAGTCTGGGCCTCACGCCCCTTCTCCCTCCGGCCCGCGAGTTCAGTCTCCCTGCTTCCTAAAGCTCCCGGGGGTCTGGACCTTTAACTCCTAGCTCGAGGGTCCATAAACCAAAGCCCCCAGGCCCTTTCTTTAAGGATGACCTGAGTCAGGTCCTGATGGGCGCACCAAGGACCCAGCACCTCAGGACAAGTGTCTAGACACCCCTCCCCTTGCTCTAAGGACCAGGGGATTTCTGTTTTCTCACCCCTAGTCTCCCGCCACCACCTCCCCTTCAGAGCTCACTGGTTTGTCTCAATTAAGAGTGTAGAATTCTGTATTCCCCAGGCCAAGTGGGGCAGCCTTGTCCTGTGTGTGCAACTGTGTGGACATCTATATGTGTGTCTGTGTGTACACGTGTGTCGTGGCTGTTTCTGTTTACGACTCTGTGTAAGCATCTATGTGTGTTTGTGTAAGATGTATATTAAAACAGCCTAGAGTGCTAAACAGGTAGCAAAGGCTGAGCGGTGGCTCATGGTTTTGCTCCTATGGCACCTCATAGGTAGGGTAAAGGAAGGACCTTGAGACACATTTGACGGACCCCTTCCTTGATGAAGGGTAATAATGCCAGGAGAACCCCTAAGGCACATTTGCCTCTTTGACTTTTTTTTTATTAAACATAAATATTCTTGTCCCCAGCTTCCCCTTCACCTCCACAGTGACAGTTCTCACCCTATGCTCACTTCTTGGGTCCAGTTCTTTCTGAGTCTTTAAGGAAAGCGGAAGAAATCAAGATGGTGGCCATCTGGGGTTCCCAGGGAGTGAACGGCCATTTTGGCTGCACTTCCACTGGCCAAGCAAAGTGCCCCTCAGGGAGCAGCACCGGGGCAGGGTGGGGTCTGCCCTCTGTCTTGATCTGCCCTGTGCTACCTTTCTTCTCAACACAGGTGGTTATCTTGAAATATCTCCTTTCAGTGACTAGAAAGAACTTTCATCCCTGCCCCTAACTCCCATCACCCCTTGTTCCCATCCCTTACAAAGGGCCTATCTGCCATCTTGAATGTCTCTTACACAGGGGAATGGTGGGCGCAGTGGCTATCTTGCTCCCACTTGGGGCATCCTCTTTGGCTGAGCTGACTGTACACCAACGATCCTGACAATTGTAATGGTCTTTCCCTCCCCCAGTGTTCAGCTTTGGAGGTGTAAGGTCGTCAACTTGTTCTGGTTCCTCAGAAATCAGGACAACCCATCATGGCAAGTTGAAGATCCCAGGACTCTTCCGTTGGAGAGAAGTCACACATGAGTCTGCAGACGCTGGTGGCTGGGTGTGGGGAAGGCAGCATATGGGAAGGGGGGAGTCCCAGGGGCGAGATCTGGGGGTCCAAAGGAAGTGGGTTTGAGGTAGCTGGTGAAAGCTCGAGGGTGAGGTGTGGTGAGGTAGCCTGCCCAGGCTCGGTACAGTCGGCAGGGGGGGACCATGCCCAGGTGCGGGTTGAAGTCATAGAAGGTAGGGGTCCCTGGGGGCCCGAGGGGGGATGGGGGTGGCAGGAAGAGGCCTCCTCCAGGGGCTTCGCCAAGGCTCAAGCTCACACTGACCCCTCGGACCTTGTAGTAGCCATTGGTTGGATCCTGCGGGGACAAATAGGACTTGGTAAGGCAAACGAGTGTACAGGGCGTGAGGGTCACTGATGGAGAGACGCACTGAGATAGAGCCAGACCAAGAGGGACAGAAAGAAACAGGAGCCGGCAGAGACACAGAGACAAAGAGACAGACACAGACCAGCAGAGAGACAAAGTGAGACAAAGAACAGTGACAAGAGACAAAGGGACAGAAGGAGATAGGCAGAGACAGAGGTGGAGAGAGATAGGCCTGTTAAGGGCTGGCAGTGCGGCAGAAGATGCAGAGAGGACAGGAGAGAATCATTCATCTGCCCAACAGCCCCTAGACTTTGATCTTGTGTCGTGCCCTGTGACGCTGCTAGAGACATGTCTGTCCCCAGGAAAGACCCGGACTCTGTCCTCATGGAGATCCCAGGCCAAGGGCAAAAGACAAATTGCCACACAGAGCCCAGAGGCGTCAAGGCTGCGACTGGGGAAAGCACAGGCAGGGTGACCAGGCAGTGATGAAAGAAACATGGGCTTCTGGGAACAAGAACTATCTGAGCTGGCAGTGGAGGAACAGAGGGGGACATTGGGTAGACACGGGAAGGAAGGTGGGAGTGTTTCAGGCCAGAGGAGAGAGAGGACTCTGGTCTAGGGGTTCAATGGGGCTGTCCCGAGATGGGATCCCAAAGGAAGGACAGGTTTGGGGAGATGTGCGGCCAGTGTAGAACGTGGTGGGTGGAAGGGGTCTATGAGGGGGCAACCAGGGAGAAGCATCCAGAAGGTCTGAAACATGACCGCGATGGGGAAGGCACAGGCGGAGTGAACCCCAGTCTGGGGCTCAAGGGAGAGGAGCTAAGGCTGGGACAGACACTCGGGCATAGTGGAGCTGGGCGAGATGGCCCCGGATGCAGGAGGAGGGGACTGGAGGGGGAACTGGAGGATGGGGGCTCAGGGCGTGGCTTTGGGGATCCCTGGGTCCCAGTTCTGGGGCAAGAGAAGGAAAAATGAGGGGACAGAAGTGGGAGAGAGTTGGAGACACAGTGAAGGGGGCCCCTCTCCTCCGAACACAGCACTCGCCTTGGTCTCCAGAGCCCCTTCCTCATCCTGAACCGGGTCACTGTGGTCGGTGAGCACCATGGGGCCCTGGGGTGGGGAACACAGTGAGACGGAGTGGTCAGAGGATCCTCCTGTGGCAGAGCCAGGCCCCAAGGACCTTCAGCCCACCCCTGGAGGCGGGAGGGACTGAGAGCACCCGGGAGCTGGGGACCGGACTCCGCGCAACAGGAGGACCCTGGAGACACAGTGGGCCTAGGGAATAACTGGGTCAGGGCACATTTGGACATGGGGGCATTTGGGACTCCCTATTTGAGTTTGCCTGCTGGCTTGGGACTGGGTTATTATTTGGGTCTAGAGGCACTGTCGGGTCTGGCATCCTACCTGGTCCTCGTGGCTGCCTGTCTCCTCCTGCTCGGGGGCCCGAGAACTGGAGCCGTCGCTGCTGCCTGGGATTCGCACCATGTTCTTCTGCTCTGAGAAAGAGCCTGAGGCCCAGACAGAGAGGGGCGGAGGTCAGCCATGGGGTCTCAGCTTGTGGATAACAATAAGCGGGAGGAGAGAGGGCCGAGCGGATGGGGTGGGGGCAGTGGGGGACCAATAAGAACGCTGGGAGGGTGAGGAGCATGTCCCCGAGGAGACCCAGAGCCTGAAGGTGAGCCAGGCCCCGCGCAGGGCTAGAGATGGGACTCGGGCCGGGTCCCAGGGCCAGACCCAGACACTGCGGAGGGCATGTGTGGGGATGGGGGTTTGGGGAGTTGGGGGGCTGGGACGGGGCGCAGGCACTGACCCTTGCCATAGCACCAGCAGCAGAGGGTCACCCCAGTGATGACCATAAGGAGAGTCATGGCTGCCGCGGCCACTCCGGCCACAATCCGCACAGTGGGCAGCAAGTCTGCAGGGAGTAGAGGGGGCATCCTGAGAAGGAATTGGGGGATGGGGGCTCAGGGCTTGGCTTTGGGGATCCCTGGGTTTGCCAAGTTTGAGGATTCTCAAGGTTTGTAGTCCCCTCGTTCAGGGTTTAAGGGCGCATGAATTTGGGGTCCCACAAGTTTGAGAGTACTCGGTTTAAACTCCCTGTCTGGCAGTCTTAGAGTTTGAGTTTGTACTTTGCAATTCCCCAGTTCCCTTCCTTGGGGCCCTAACCGTGAGGGGTCTCTCAGTTTAGGATTCTGTAGTTGAGGGAATTTATTGTTTTGGGGTCTTGGGATTCAATGAATCCATGGTTTTGAAGCTCCCAAGGTTTGGGGGCTTATGCATTTGCAGGCGGGAGGTTTGGCAGCACTGGGTTTGGGGATCCCTATACATGCGGGGTTTGGAATCCCCAGATGTGGGGTGTTCCAGCGGGGTCTCACCTCTACGGCCCAGGCTGACTCTGGTGCCTCCCTCACCCAGCCTGTTCCGGGCACTGCAGTTAAAGCCCCTGCTAAAGTCGGACTCCTGGGTCCCCGAAATGTGTAGCACAGAGATCAGGCCTGGACTCTGCCCCCCACGGCCCTCGGGGGCCGGGAATGTCTCCACCAGGAATCGCCCCTGGGACCCCGCCGCCAGGAAGCCCTCATCCCAAGACCAGACCTGGGGGCACAAAGAGGGAAGGCATTGAAGAGACTGGGGACGGAGGGGAGAAGCGGGTGGGATGTCGGGAAAGTCAGAGATGGTCACAGCAGTTCGGAGGTCCGGGTGAGAGGCCAGGGATCACGGCTGGATGACGGGTCATGGTAGGGGCGACATCTCCTTACCACGGCTTCTGGGGCCGGAGAGGCGAAGACTAGACACTGGAGGCGGGCGGGGCCGCTCAGGAAGGCGGGCGCGGAGTGCAGGGCGGTCACCACCGGCGGAGCTGCGATGGACGCGGCGGGTCACCGAGAGGAGAGGTCTCGCCCTCCCCCAGGCCATTCTCAGCAACGCGGGACCAGGCCTGGGCACTCGCGTCCAACCCCAACCGCCAGGGCCACGCCCCTCGACAGACTCCGATCCCCCAAAGCCTCGCCTTCAAGGGGTCGGGCTCCAATCGCCAGGCCCCGCCAGGTCTCGGCCTCCTTCAAGGCCACGCCCACTTCCACCCGCTCCCCTCCGCGTCCCGGGACCCGCCAGGTCCCCTGCAAAGCCCGCTTTCTCACCGTTCACAGTCAACCTCGCTTCCGCGGCGCCACCGCCCAGGCCCGGGAGCCCCGGCGCAGCCCTGCACACGTAGTCGCCCGCGTCCTCCGGCCCCACCGACGGAAGACGCAGCGCGGGCCCGGAGCCCAGCACCTGGGACAGGGGGAGGGCGTCAGGGCCGGGACTTTGAGAGGAAGCCGGGCCCACCGCCAGCCACTGCCGCTGATGGGGCTTCACCTGCGAGCCACCGCGGCGCGTCCAGGTCACCCGTGGGGGCGGGTTCCCGCGCCAGGCGCAGCTGAAGGAGGCGTCTCCCCCCACGTCCACGGACACCGGCTCTGGCTTTGCCTGCAGAATCGGCCCAACTGGAGGCAGGAGAGGAGGGGTCGCTTGAATGGGGTGGCGGAATGAAGCCCCTGTCCCGGGATCAGCCCCTCGGAAGCACTGCATCCTCAAAGGCCCAGGTCCGCCACGCTCCGCCTGCTAGTTGTCTGCGGCACGCCCGCGCCCGCACGCCTAGGCCCCGCCCCGGCCCCGCGTTTCCCTCCCGCCCATCGCGGCCGCGCCCCGGCCCAGCTCACACAGCACGTCCAGCGCGGTGCTGCGGTTGGCGCTGCCCACGGCGTTGCTGACCTCGCAGGACACCGGCTCGGTCAGGAAGGAGGCGTCTGCCAGGACCTCCAACATGGGCCCTCGGGCCCCGAGCACCGGGGAGCCTCCCTTCGCCCATCTGAGGAGGTGGTGGCGCTGTTAGTGTTGTCTCCCCTCCCCGGCACACCCACTCTGGTCCCAGCCCTCCCTAGGCCCGCTGAGACCTGGTCATTGTCCTCACCTGTAGCCGGTGACAGGAGGCTGGGCAGTGGCCTGGCACAGGAAAGTGACTTTCTCTCCTTCCTGCACAGTCTGTGGCTCAGCAGACAGAGTCACCTCTGGCGGGTCTTTTGGAGTGGGACAATGGTCAGCGGGGCAAGGACCATGAACACCTGCATTGCTGTCCTAGGAAGCCAGTGCCTAGTGCCTCTGTTCCAGGAGTCTGGGTCCCTAGTGCCTTCTTTCCTTTGAGTCAGAAGTCTGGGCTTCCCGCTCCCAGTTTCCCCAGGTACCCCCGTGTGCCAGCCTTCTGTCCTCTCCTGCTCTCCCAGATCCAGGGGTCCAGGCCCACACCCCTCTGTCCCAGGGCCGGCTGCACTCACACTGCAGACTCAGCGTAATAGCTGTGTCCCTCCCCACAGGTAGGGCCTGGCTCTGAGCTCGGCAGACCAAGGTGGCTCCATCATCACGTCTGGAAGGGGTCAAGGATAGGGTGCTCTCCATTGACCCAGTGGTCCCTTCCTTTGGCACGGTCTGGAGGTGTGGATAGTAACAATGAGTTTATGTGCACTTAAAGAGCGCTTACTATGTGTCAGGCACTCTTCTAAGCATTTATGGGTATTACTTTCCTTAATCCTCACAATTACCCTATCAGGCGCATACTATTATTGTCCTCATTGTACAGATAAGGAAACTGAGGGTCAGGGAGGTTAAATAATTTACTCAAGATGAATCAACTAGCAAGTGGCTGAGCCTTGATTTGAACCAGGTAGTCTGGCCCTGAAGTCTTTACCCTGAATCATATTCCAAGGGGCGCCAACCTTTGAACCCCTGCCCTCCCATGCCCTCTTCTTTTCTGGATGAGTCTGTGGTCAGAGTGGGCCCCAAGTGTTCCTGAATGAGCAAGGGCTTGCACAGGGATTTGGACCTGACCTGGTGGAAGGTGGTCCCATCCAACTGGATCCCATCTCGGAACCACAGCAGCTCAGGGGTGGGGCGGGCATCCCCACGGCTTCGACAGGTCAGGTTCGCAGGAACTCCAGCAACCAGAGACACAGAGGGGCCTCCCAGCACCAGAGGGGGTTCTGGGGGGACTGCAGGGTGGATCTGGGGTCAGAACTGGATCCTGGGCTGAGACACTAATCTTCTCAGCTCCAACTGACCACTGCCCTGGGCTCCCTGGACTCTGATACTCCCAGCTAGCATTGGCTGCCCCCCTGGGCTCTCTGGGGACAGGTAGGCTGGGTCCTCACCCAGTATGTGCAATTGGGCTGGTCGAGAGCGAAGTCCTGCTTGTGTAGCCTGGCATTCATACCATGCTTCATCCTCGAGCTCCACAGGCCTAATGTGGAGATCATGATGGCCACTGGCTGCATTCCCTGATATCCAGTACCGGGACCACCCTGGCGTCAGGAAAGACACAGTCACACCGTGGTTTTGAGTTCCTGGCCTCAACCCTCTATCCGCAGACACCCCCACACCAGAAACTGGCCCACACGGTTGGTGGTAAAGCATTATTAAAAAGTGTGTCCTGGGCCCAGAGAGACTCTTACTCCCTCCCAGTACAGAGTCACTCAAATGTGGGGTGATGAAGTCAGAAAGGAAAGCAGGAGGATGATTGCCATAAAAGTTAGGTGAGATGTTACCTCTGGGGTGAGGAGCAGGAGGGCTGTGACCCAGGAAGGAAATAAAGAGGGCCTGTGGGAGGGCTGGCAACGGACCTGGTTATTGGCTGCATAGGTGTCTACTTACTGTGGCAAATCTTCCATTTATGTTCATTGCACTTTTCTGCATTTACATACTATTTTACAGTAAAATAATCCCAAACTCTATGGGTCACCCCCAAAGAAACAGCTCAAAAATCAGGACTCCCAAATGTTTACCCAAGCCCATCAATTTCCCAAACTCGGAAATGTCAAAATAGAAACTTCAGGAATAGCTCAAGCCCAGCAGCACCCAAGAGCCAGCCCTGCCTGAATGGAGAGCACGGCCTCACCTGGCAGGTCCCGTTCGCCCCCTAGAGCCAGCCCGTCCTTGGTCCACTGAACCAGCCCCCCGTACGCGCCCAGAGCGCAAGGCAGCCGGGCCTCCTCCCCCAGCAGCACCACTAGGTCCTCCGGCTGTTGCAGGAAATGGGGCGACATGCCTAGGAGAACGGGGCAGCAGAGCCGAGCTTAGCACACGCAAGAACCCCCTCTTTCAGGACCCAGGAGTCCAGTTCCCAGCCCCGCTTTCCCTCAGGCTCAGAAGCCCAGGCCTCCAGAGTTCTCTTCCCCCAGCCCCAGGATCCCCCAACCTCTCTTCCCTAGTAAAGTGACAGCCAGCCAACACCGCACCCCCCATTCGTCCTCTCCCCTCTCGCGGTACCTGCGCGCCCTCTGAAGCAGAACAGGAGGACAAGCAGGGCAGGGACCAGCATCCTGGGTGTGTGTCCCCCGAGGTCCACGAGATTTGCAGTTGCGCTGGCTTTCCTGCCAACTTCTGCCTCGGAAGCGCGCTTCCCACCACCCAGGCCCGGAGCCCCCTTCGCGCTCCACTCGGCCCCGGGCTGGAAGACTCCGGGAGCCCCCCAAGTCTTCTTGCCCGCAGCCCCAGACGCTCTGAAACGCCTGCCCGTTGCGCGCGCTCGGTCCCCGCGAGGCCCGGGGGTGCCCATCCCGCTCGCCCCGCCCCGGTCGCCCGGGAGTCCCGCCCCTTCCATTGAGAAACTCCGGGCCAGGGCGCGCTTGAATGGGGCTCGCGGGGCCGGGTTCTGTGGCGGGCGCGCGCCGCAGCCCAGTTGGAGTCTGGGAGCCGGAACACCTGGGTCCCAGGAGGGGGTCCTGGCCGGGTTGGACACCTGTGCCCGGGCGGGTGGAGGGGGCGGCATGGGGGTGACGAGGAGGGAAGGGAGGGAGTGGAAGAAAGTTGCTCAGCCCAGGTCCTGGAGGGACTGCGCCGGGTGGAAACGGAGCTATAAATGGGAGCCCCGGGGGCCTCGCCAGTTTCCGCGCCCTGGGGACGCGGGGTCTGGGACTCCCCTGGGCCTGGGGGTCGGGAAGAGGGCACTCGGGTGCCTGCGGGGCAACTGGGACCCTGAGCAGAAGGGAGCTTAGCTTCCCCCACCCCAAATACCCCTCTGCTGCCCTGTTACTACTGCAAGGCACAGCACGTTCCAAACCCAGGCATCCAGGCCGCCAGCCCCTCCTTTCCCAGGACCCCTCTGCCTGCTTGGCCGGCCGGGCCCCTCGGCCTGGTTGCCGGGCGACGGCTGGGAGGCGGCGGTGCCGGGCTCGGGCGGGCGGGAGGCTGGGAACGGCGCAGCTTGTGCTGACGGCTCCATGCAGCCCAGCTGGGGCGTTCCCACGCCGCGCAGCTGGCCAGCAGGTGGGAGGGACCCGGAGCCGCCCCCCGAAGGAGGGCTGGGGGCTGGGACCCTGGGCCTGACATTCCTGGGCCTGTAGGAACTGGGGGTCCACATTCAGGTTCGCAGTTGTTCACACCAGATTGGCCGGAGCCAGGTTCTCACTCACTCCCAGGCTCAGGCTCCTGCGTTTGTAAGAGGCCGGGAGGGGTGAGGGGGTGGGGTTGGATTTCCAGGATTGTGAGGGACGGTGTTTCAGACCTTTGCCGGCTGAGAAGCTGATAGCCTGATCTCTGGGTTCCTTGAGGGGTTGGAGACTCGACTCCCAGATCCCCTGACTGCGGCGGGGTGCGCTCGGGAGCGGGTGGCAGGGAGTCAGGATATCTGGTCTTAAGTCTCAGAGTCAGTCGATTTCACCACCGATCTCTCCCCGCCCCCACACGGCCCAGGAGGATTTGAAAATGGACAGTGAACATCTGGCCTAAGTCGTGCGTGTGTGGAGTAGCGGGGGAGGATTGGCGGCCTGAACTCCCGGGTTCTCGGTGAGAAGGGGATGAGTGAGACTCCTGGGTGTGAGAGGGGAGGGTCTTGGGGTCCCAGACCCCTAGTGTTGGGAACCTGAACTCCTGGCTTCCGTGTTGCAGATCCAGTGGCTGGATTTTGAAATAGGTTGGGCTTGGGGCCAGGACTCCTGAGTCTTGGAGAGGAAGTCAGGTACTGAGGCCTGTTTTTCCAGACACCTGATATTTCTTCCTCTTCCTGGCCCTCTGGGGCCACGGGCGTGGAAAGATGTTGAGCCCACGGTCCCAGGAGCATGCGGAGAAGGAAAACAGCCAAGGTGGAGGGTGGCAGGTTTGTGCTAATTAAGGGTCCAGCAACTGCCAGCTCTACGCCCTGGTGCCCAGGGACACCATCTGGCGAGGGCCCTTACGACGGATCCCACCCCGCCCCCACCCCAGCTCAGCATCCAGCCCATTTCCCAGGAGGCGTGGGGGCAGTTGGGAGAGGCAATGCGGCAGGAGGGCAGGAGTCGATAATGGGAGGGAAGAAGGCAGATGAGACAGGGCACCCAGGATGGAGCCGTGGGGGCGCGCGCCAGATGCCTCGTCTGCCTGGAGGAGGACCAGATAGGGGTAGCCGGGAGGGAGAGAAACCGAGCAGTTCCCATTCCCGCAGGAGATAAGTAAGCAGGAGCTCACCACGTGTGAGTGTGCGCATGCTCACTGGGCAGGGAGGGCGGCCAACTAGCACATGCCTAGAAAATGCTGGCAGGTGACAGTCAGGGGGGACTCAGAGACAGATGAAACAGGAGAAAGACGCACAGTCAGAGGGTGACTGAGAACAAATATTTATTGAGCTCCTGGAGTGTGAGACAGTGTGGGGTGGGGTAGGGGTTACAGAGACGAGAACTGGGACAGAAAGACAGAAAAACAGAGCCATGTAGAGGCATAGAGACAGAGAGAAAGCGAAATAGTCACAGATTGGCTGCGATTTAACCACTTCATGCAGAGAGAGAGAGCAAGAGGGAGAGGAATTTCAAGGAGACGGAGTAAGATAGAAAGATACATCAAGATGGGTCGAGGGAGGGAGAGAGAGAAACATGGAGAAGGAAGAAAGAGACAGGAGAGATGTCAAGAAATAGACAGAAGGAAGGTCACGCAGCCCTTGCCAAAGGGCACCCACGCGGGGCTCACTGCTACCCCCACGCGGAGGGCTGGCGTACTGGGACCCTGCCTTTCCCTCCCACTCACTCTGCCCACGCCCCGCACACGCCCCCCTACGACACTTTGCACACTCACACACTCTCCACGTGCTTATCAGATCACAGTTCACACACACTCCTGCAGCTCCCCAGCAGAGATCCCTGACGTCACCGAGTGCCGGTGTCTACTCGGTGTCTACTCGGGGAAGGAAGGGACGTGCCCACGTCACGTACCAGGGCAGGGAAGAGCTGGAGGGCCCAGCTCTGCTCCCCACGCTGAGCTGGGAGACCGCCCAGGTCTGACCTCTTTCATATTCCCAGACTAAGCCAGGCCCTTGGGGTCATGGGGGCCGGGGAGGCACCGAGGAATGTGCTTGGCATGTGCTGACGGGGGATTTCGGGGCCTAGCCGGGTCAGAGGCGGGAGCTGGGGACAGGGGAGGGCACCTGGGGGAGGCAGCAGTGGGAGGACGAGCTCAGGCTGGGTTAGAGAACGGAGACCAACCCTGCCACTGACCACATCAGCCTCATCGCTCTCCTGGGCTCATGGGGCCTGCAGGACTCTGAGTGCTGAGAGAAGGGGAGCAGGGGCAGGAGTGGCAGGAAAAAAGATAAGAGGGAGAGAGAGAGAGAGAGAGAGAAAGAGAGAGAGACCAGGGAGGGGTGGGGTGGGGGACTCAGAGAGAAAGAGCCTATGGATAGGGAGAGAAAGCTAGTAAGAGAAAGAGACAGAGGCAGAGACGCAGAGAGATTGGGAGAGAGGAAAACAGAACAAGAGTGAGAGAGACAGGAAAAAGAGAGACAGAAAGAGAAACAGGAAGCAGACACCCGGAGAGGGGGACCAGAGAGCCAGAGGCAGACGCGGGTGGCAGGCAGTGGGCACTGTCGGAGCCACCACCAGAGGACCTGGGATGGCCCTGAAGACCTCCGCCAGGGCTGCTCTGCTGCTCATGGGGCTGCTGACCACAGGTGAGTGGGACCCTGGCGTTGCGCTTGGTGCCAAGTGGCCCTCATTTCTTACTCGTGTTCCCTAGACAGACGCCCTGCCCTTTTCTAGTGACTCCCTTTTGTCCCCAGGCCTGGCCCAGTTGCCAATTCCTGTCTCAGCCCCCCGAGGCTTCTGGGCCCTGTCCAAAAACCTGACGGCCGTGGAGGGGACCTCGGTGGAGCTGCAGTGCGGGGTTCGCGCCCCTGGCAGTGTGGTGCAATGGGCCAAAGATGGGCTACTCCTGGGCCCCGACCCCAGGATCCCGGGCTTCCCCAGGTACCGCTTGGAAGGAGACCCTACTAGAGGTAAGTGATCAGAGCCTGAGAACCTGAGCCACCGGCAGAGGCTGTCGCCCTGACCTGGGGCCCCACCTGCAGGTGAATTCCATCTGCACATCGAGGCGTGTGACCTCAGTGATGACGCAGAGTACGAGTGCCAGGTCAGCCGCTCGGAGACGGGCCCTGAACTCGTGTCTCCCAGAGTGATCCTGTCCATCCTGGGTACGGGTGAGAGACCCCCAGCACCCACAAGTCTTCTCCTGCACCAGGACCCAGGAGCCCAAGCCCCCCGCGTCTCCCTGCTTGGACTCTGGGTATGGGACTCATTTCATGAGCAAGGAGATTCAAAGCCCAAGACCTCACCTCCTTTCTCACCAGTCCCCCCCAAGGTGCTGCAGCTGACCCCTGAGGCAGGGAGCACAGTCACCTGGGTAGCTGGGCAAGAGTACGAGGTCACCTGTGTGTCTGGAGACGCGAAGCCGGCACCCGACATCACCTTCCTCCAGAGTGAGTGCGGGTGAATTGGTGAGGCCGGCGAGGGACCTGGGAGGGGACATCCCTGGGGAGGCCACCGGGAGACAGCAGGGCTGCTGGCCTGGGGCTCGAGGGCTAGGCTGAGGCTCAGACAGAGATATGGGCTGTGGCAGGGGTGCAGAAACGAGAAGCTGGTGTGACGGGTGCATGATGCCACCCACCAAGGAGGTGAGGAGACAGCCAGCCCTGAGGACTCCAGCATTCAGGGAGTCCTCAGTGTGCGGGAGGATGGAGTTGGTGGTCGGGAGGGAGGTGACATCATGCCTGCCCTGAGGACTTCCAGGACATGCTCCCCAGAATCTACCCCGGGGGGAACTCAGCACCCCTCCAGCCCTCTTGTTGCCCCAAGGTGGACAAACGGTATCTGACATCTCTGCCACTGTGAATGAGGGGTCCCAGGAGAAACTCTTCACCACAGAGGCCACAGCCAGGTTTGGAAGTTGGGGGGCCCCTCCCCACCCTGATCCCCAAATTTCCCCATGAGAACCTCGTATCACAGGGATTCAAGCATGGAAACTCGGGTCAGGGATGACTATTTGAGACCCAGTTCTTCACCGGGACCCTCAAAACTTCTTCATGGGACCCCAATTCCAGGGTACCACGCACAAAGATTTTGGCCAGGTGTGGGCCTCTGGGGGACCCAGTTTTCACTATTGACCCCCCAAATCTCTCCCGTTGAACTCTGGAGCCCAGAGGAAATCAGCATGGGGACTTAGGCCAGGTGTGGGGACCTGGGATCCCCACCTTTTCACCCTGACTGCCCAAATTTCAGATGATGACTCTGACTCTAGAATCC